GAGCATTTCCAGTATAATTCCGAGGAAAATTCCATCGGAATTGAATTCTGAGGATGTTTTCAACGAAATAAAAGGAGAGTTTAAAGGAAACTCCTGGAATCATTTCAAAGAATTTATGGGAGTTCTGAGAAAAATTTAAAAGGAATTCCTAGAAATAATTCATTGGAATTTCTGGAGAATACAAAGCGCATGATGAAGAGAAATTCAAGTGAATTTCCAGAGAATTCGTAGGTAATGCTGCATGGGTTATTAATAATTTGAAGAACATTGCAGATTGAATTCAAAGAATGGAGGCGACCCCAGCGTAGTGGTTAACATCCATACCTCTCACGCCAAAGTCACGAGTTCAAATCTCACCCCCGGACAAGTCACGAATGACCCAAGAGTGTTAAAGTGACTATAATAAAAAAAAAAAAATCAAAGAATGATGTGTAGATGATAATTCCATCAAAGAACTTATTTCGAGATATTGGACAAAAAAAAAGATTCAAGTTTCAGGATATGGGTTTTTTTTAGATGTAATGTTTTGAAAATTCTTTTATCCTGGATTAAGGAAAATCTTCAAGACTAAGACCGTTTAATGAAAAATATCCAAGATTCTGGAACGTCCAAAAAGTCCGAACACATATCTTAGTTTTAGAAATCTTAAATACATAACAGTGTAAGCAAGCTCGTCAAAGTTTATTTAGTCCGGACACTCCAATAGTGACGCTAGTGCCACATCCAGAAATGACCAGAATCTTTGATATCTGGACAAATTAAGTTTCAAGAACTGGCTGCCCTATTGCGTGTTGTGTTGACTTTATATTATAAACTTATTACTCAAAACTTCCATAAATGGATATTTGAACCATTTTTTGAATTCATATGAGTAAATAAGGCCATATTTCCCAGTAAATGGAGTATTTCGGTATTTTGCTTTTAAATTATAGACAGTAAGAAAAATATTTTGTTTATTCTATAAATCGATAATTCTATAACTCGATGGTTCCATCAAAATTGAGATATGGAGAGTTGACTGTATAAACCATATTTTATGTCAAATTTAGCAACACACTTATAAAAATGTATCCCTAAAATTTATAAATAATGAGCATTGAAGATATACGAATTACTCATACACATACTGCTAATCCTTAAACGATCGAAATTGATCCATTGAATGAAAGTTTGCACACTATAAAGTATAGGTATGTGGAGTGACGGAAAAGCGTCTAGAATAAGCTTCCAAAAGAAACTTCTAAAAAAAGCTTCCAAAAGAAGGTTCCAGAAGAAGGTTCCAAAAGAAACTTCCGAAAGAAACTTCCAAAAGAAGGTTCCATGATAAGCTTCCAGAAGAAGGTTTCAAAGGAAGCTTCCAAAATAAGCTTCAAAAGAAACTTCCAAAAGAAGCTTTCAAAAGAAACTTCCAAAAGAAGCTTTCAAAAGAAGATTCCAGAAGAGAGTTCCAGAAGAAGATTCCAAAAGAAGCTTCCAAAATAAGCTTCCAAAAGAAGCTTCCAAAAGAAGAAGCTTCCAAAAGAAGCTTCCAGAAGAAGCTTTCAGAAGAAGGTTTCAAAAGAAGGTTCCATAATAAGCTTCCAAAAGAGGCTTCTAGGAGAAGCTTCTAAAAGAAGCTTCCAGAAGAAGACTCCAAAAGAAGCTTCAAAAATAAGTTTCCATAGAAACTTTCAAAATAAACTTCCTAAAGAAACTTCCAAAAGAAGCTTTCAAAAGAAACTTCCAAAATAAACTTTCAAAAGAAGCTTCCAAAAGAAGGTTTCAAAAGAAGGTACCGAAAGAAGCTTCCGAAAGAAACTTCAAAAAGAAAGTTCCATAATAAGCTTTCAAAAGGAGCTTTTAAAAGAAGCATCCAGAAGAAGGTTCCAAAAGAAGCTTCAAAAATAAACTTCCAAATAAACTTCTAAAAGAAACTTCCAAAAGAAGCTTTCAAAAGAAACCTCCAAAATAAACTTCCAAAAGAAGGTTCCTAAAGAAGTTTGCAAAAGAAGCTTCCAAAAGAAGCTCCCAAAAGAAGGTTCCAGAAGAAGATTCCAAAAGAAGGTTCCAAAAGAAGGTTCCATAATAAGCTTCCAAAAGAAGCTTCTAAAAGAAGCTTCCAAAAGAAGCTTCTAAAAGAAGCTTCCAGAAGAAGGTTCCAAGAAGCTTCCAAAATAAACTTGCAAAGAAACTTCCAAAAGAAACATCCAAAAGAAGCTTTCAAAAGAAACTTCCAAAAGAAACTTCCAAAAGAAGGTTTCAAATAAAGGTTCCAAAAGAAACTTCCAAAAGAAGGTTCCAAAAGAAGCTTTCAAAATAAACTTCCAAAGAAACTTCCAAAAGAAACATCCAAAAGAAACATCCAAAAGAAGCTTCCAAAAGAAACTTCCAAAAGAAACTTCCAAAAGAAGCTTCCAAAAAAAGGTTCCAAACGAAACTTTCAAAAGGAGCTTCCAAAAGAAGCTTCCAAAAGAAGTTTTCAAAAGAAGCTTCCAGAAGAAGGTTTCAAAAGAAGATACCGAAAGAAGCTTCCGAAAGAAACTTCCAAAAAAAGGTTCCATAATTAGCTTCCAAAAGAAGCTTCCAAAAGAAGCTTCCAAAAGAAACTTTCAAAAGAAGTTTTCAAAAGAAGATTCCAGAAGAAGGTTTCAAAAGAAGATACCGAAAGAAGCTTCCGAAAGAAACTTCCAAAAGAAGGTTCCATAATAAGCTTCCAAAAGAAGCTTCTAAAAAAAGCTTCCAGAAGAAGGTTCCAAAAGAAGCTTCCAAAATAAACTTCCAAAATAAACTTCCAAAAGAAGCTTTAAAAAGAAACTTCCAAAAGAAGCTTCCAAAAGAAGTTTGCAAAAGAAGCTTCCAGAAGAAGGTTTCAAAAGAAGCTTTCAAAAGAAGCTTCCAAAAGAAGCTTCAAAAAGAATAATCCAGAAGAAGGTTCCAAAAGAAGATTCAAAAAGAAACTTCCAAAAGAAACTTCCAAAAGAAGGTTCCAAAAGAAGCTTAGAAAAAAAAACTTCCAAAAGAAACTTCCAAAATATGCTTCCAAAATACGCTTCCAAAATAAGCTTCAAAAAGAAGCTTCCAAAAGAAGGTTCCAGAAGAAGGTTCCAAAAGTAGCTTACAAAAGAAGCTTTCAAAAGAAACTTCCAAAAGAAGGTTCCAAAAGAAGCTTCCAAAAGAAGCTTTCATAAGAAACTTCCAATAGAATCTTCCAAAAGAAGCTTACAAACGAAACTTTCCAAAGAAACTTCCAAAAGAAGCTTCCAAAATATACTTACAAAAGAAGCTTCTACAATCATTTTCTTAATACGCTCCGTCTAGAAGCTTCTTTTAGAATCTCTGAAGAATCATTTTAGAAGCTTATTTTAGATTAAATATAGATTAAACTAAGAAGCTTCTTTTAAGAGCTTACCCGACGCTTAAAAACACAAGAGGAACAGAAAATCGAAGTAGCTATACAGTCAATGAGCAATTTTTCAAGGTTTATAAATCAAATTAAAAATAAAATTGATTCCAAACCCAAGTTCAACACATGAAAACTATATGCCTAATTTATGGATCATACCTATATGTTTTAGTGCGCAAACTAGATAATCTATTGATCAATTTCGTTCATTGTAGAACATTTTAAGGATAATTTGCAAAGGTCCATGATCTCATGATCAATCACTATTCTTTAAACGCTCACTTGTTCCGTGTTGGGCTGGGGGAGTAGTCTCTGTGAATGTGGACAAGGTTACCTGGACGCAGATCACATTATTTGGTCATGTGCTGAGCACCGTGGAGTCAGATCCGTGTGGTAAGATTTTCTTCGGGCTCGAGGTAGACACTCTAATGTTACAGTTCGGGATATTTTGGCTAGCCGTGATCTGGAGTTTATGCAACTCATATATATTTTCTTGAAAAATATTGACCTGAGATTGTAAGTTCGATTGACCTTGAGTTTAGTTTGTATTTTGTGTGTTTTTTGTATTTTTTTAAATTTTTGTTTCTGTAAAAATAGCATAATTACAGAGTAGATATAACGTTAATTAAGTACATGTATTAGGAAAAGTAAAATTTTTTAATCATAAATCATATTCCAAATCTCTTTCTCCCTCTCCCCATCTTTTGTCATCATCTATACTCAAAAAGTCACGAGTAATCCGTTCAATACCTTTAATTTTAGATTTAAGACATCAATAATGTACCACGCAAATGATAACGTGGCTCTGTAAAGTTTATTCGATTGAGCCTATACAAATAAAGTAGCTTAAAAAATGAATATGGTAATTCGTACAACTTCAACGCTCTTTCTTTAAAAATTAAGCGGTAGAGTTTTACAATTGTTTTGCTAAACTTTACATAAAAGGATCGACTGAATTTATTTTTGAGGAGCGTTTAATTAATTCTAAGGGTGCACACTTCAAATATGATGTGGCCGACTGGAATTGATTACTCCAGTTAACATGTTTTTGAAGTCCTTTTTGTTTCAAAAGCAGAATCACAGAACACATAAGCTATGCTTTTGATATATCGAGTTATAAAATCAAAATCACACTGCATAAAACATTGACCCTATTGACTTGTAGAAATATGGACATATGTAGAGTACGATAAATGAAAAAAGAAAAACTGATCCTTCGGGAAATTATTGAGTGGAGAGTTGACTGTATATCCAAAGTAAAACATTTATTCTTATGAAACCTTTTATTATCCATTATTAATTAGGATGCTTAATATATTTTCCGATATTGTACTCCTAAATACCGGCTTTCGAAAAACGATTCGGTACCAACAACCTTTGACATTAATTTCAATATACTCATCGAAAAATGACCATCATGAATTGATTGCACGCTTAATAAAAACATAACAAGATACTTCACTCGGCTAAAAGTGCACTTATTAGCACTTGTCTCTGCATGAGGACTGATTTCATTTTATCTGTTGTGATATCGAAATGATCCAACGAGTGCACCATCAACCAAGCGGAGTTTTCTCTTTGAGGGATCTGACTTGTGGTAAAGTAAAGCTAAACTTACCTCATAAAAATAAAAAGAATTTATCTCCTCGCTCGTCACGTTGTCGTTGGCAGTGCCGACTTTGGTGGCCGTGGCAACCGATATAACAGCTCCGGGACCGCTCGCCGATGTTGGCGCTAATAAAACCTGTAAAATTTAACGGCTCAATAAAGGTGTCCATTTGGGTAGTGATCCAGTCTCACCTGAGAAAGTGCCGGAGTGATGTTCATACTAAACACATCTTCTGCCCCGCCGACACCGGAAGGACGTCCAACAACACCCACGACACTGTCGTTTATGTCCGTCTCACCACTGCGGACCTGCTCGACGAGAGACACGTGGCTCCCGGAAGTGCCACTGCCACTCACCTCAACGATGGCACTCTGTTCAGTTATCAGCAAATTGCTACTGTTATCACTAAATCGCATAATAGAAGAACGACTCTCGTTGGTACAGCAGTGATTAAGATTTACGAACCCAATCCCACCCACGTCCACAGTCCGTTTGACACCTTGCCAAGCGCTCAGCGGGATATGATGCAACGAGGTCAGATTCACTCTCCGACCACCAGCAGCGGAGGCGTCGTCATACGGATATTGATGGCTTTGGTTGACTTGCTCGGTGGCAGCATGGTGAGTGCCAAAGTGCGCGAGAATACCGAGGAAGTCCTGCTGCTCCAAAGGTCTACTGGAATGTTGCTCGAGCAGGGGGTGATAATTGTGATGATGTGAGGCGTACTGGCGAATATATGCCCAGGCAAGGAGTGACAGCATTGTTCCATACCAGCATTCAACCAATATTGTCTTCTCAATAGGTGGGATTTATTGGCAAGCAACAGGTACCGGAGGGAATATAGTCTGAAAGATAACAGAGATTGCGAAAGTTAATAAAAGGATGTTGGTATTGACTTGGTACATATGTCACGATTAAATAAGTACATAAGAATCTTGTATCGGTCATGATTGAGGTTTCTGAGAAACTGGATTTGGATGAAACAGCGAGGGAACTTGTATGAGAGAAGTTCCTGACCAAATAGCGAAAAAATAAACAATTTTTTTAATTCTACCTATCTAAATTCCATAAATCTTCGCAGAATTGTTCGCCAAGGGAAATGCACCAAGTTTGTGCAGAAATTCGGCCAATTTTTTTTAAAACGGCGTATTTGATATTTTTCAATGAATCATAGCACGAAGACGGCTTGTCTAATCTTAATGACGTATGAGACAAAGCTGTGGGAAACTGGATTGCCTTTTCCAAAAAATAGTCAATTTAGTCAACAATACAGCAACAAAACATTAACATTTTTAAGATTTTCGTTTTGTTTAAGCTTATTAGGAAATGCTAACCGTTCTGAAATTAACACAATCGACACGTGAAAATAGACCAATATTGTAGAATAGTACACATTTGAACTTTTTTGTCACGCAAATTTATGTGAGTTAGATTTTCTGGACTATAAAATTAGTTTTTTTGCCAAATAAACTATAATAATTATGTAATAATTTGACGAAATATTTTGTTTTGAATAGGAAATCCAGCTTCCTACAATTTTCAGGCCTATTCTGCGTGGTGTGTGAGGTGAGGTGACAAGCTGTGATGAGGTGACTATCCATGGAAATTAAATGGAGCTTTAGACGTGACAAGTGCAACATGTTTGTTGAATCTAAACTGCGAGTCAATAGTAACACCAAATTGAGGTATCACGCTCTAATGGTATTGGTAGTTTACGGTGGTGTTCCTACGGGATAACGATATCACCTTGCATTTTCCTATGTTGACACTCATACCATTTTCATGGTACCACAGGAGTAGCTCATTTATGTCAGTTTGCATGGCGATGACTCTCAACATCTTCAGGTTGTCGGCGAACATTTGCTTAAATGAAGAAATACGAGGGCACAGGTCGTTAAAGAAAAGGACAAACAGCATTGGGTCGAGCACACTTCCTTGTGGTACTCCCGAAGTAATTGCAAAGGCCATCGAGCGTGCAAAATTGATCTAAATGAAAGAATGGCGGTCAAGTAAGAGAGAATCCACTCTATCTAAGTAGGAAATCCAATAGCTCTTAATTTTTTTTTAAGGCCTACCAATATCCCCCACACCAAAGAGCTCAAGTGAGCCCCTTGGTAGTTGACGCAACTATCTCAGCTCAATCTGTGCAGCAAAATAAGAAACTAATAAAGCTAATCATGAGCTGAGAAAAAAAAAACAAATAGAAAAAATTATAATAATAAAAAGAAAGTTGATATTTATAATATAGTATGGGTGTGATGTCCCAGTGGAAACGAATTTCCTTTAAGGTTCTACAAAGGGTAATTAAATTTGTATTCGTCTTCTTTTTGAAATATTCTTCAATCATCATCATTGGTTTACACATACATTCTCATATTATTAATACAAAAATTTATTACTTGTATTTCATGATTTTAGAACGAAAACTTCCTGGGTAAAACAAATTCACTGTATTTACTTACTTGTGTTCTTCGAAGCTTAGCACAATAACACACAATCGAATAAACAAAATCCAAAACAACTGCTACTCAAAACTCTTGGTGAACAAAATTGAACACCAAGAAAACCACTTCAACTTTACTGCTTTGTCGGCAATCGTAAAAGTATCGTTTAAAAAGCGTTGCCAGATGTATTGCCTCTAGCAATGGATTTAAGTGTATTAAATAAAACAAGCGATTGTGAAGTTTGACACATTGATATGAGATGAGTGGATGTATTTAATGGTGAATAAATATCAGAAACTGAGTAAATACAGGGTGCGTGACGAATTTTTGCAGTAAATTTCAAATAGTAATTTCTCATGCTTGTGCATCATGATTTAGATATATTTGGCAGCACTGGATAGCTTATACCGTTAGGTGTAAGATTTAAACAAACAATGTTGAGTAAACGTAAAGATGTCGAAACAAGAGAGCAATCTGTCAGCCGTTGTCGCTTTGTTGCGCGCCGGAGTATGCATGAAAGAAATAATTCGGTCGGTAAATGTGTCTGAAAGAACAGTGTATAATATTAAAAAAGGCGGATAAGACGGAGCACCTGCTCAAACTGCTAATAAAGCACAGAAATAGCTTACGGAAAATATTTCGTAAATTTGGGAGGAAGAAATTTGGCCCCCAAGCAGTCCCGATATCAATCCGTTGGATTATTTTGTATAGGGCGTCGTCCAACGGGATACCAATAGAACCCCTCACACCACACTTAAGTCGCTAAAAGCTAAAATCAAGGCAGTGATGACATCTATGGATCGAAACATTTTAAAACGTGCATACTGCAGTTTCCGGAAGCGTCTAACTACAGTCGTCGAAAGGGAAGGCAAGTTTTTTGAATAAATTTACTTACAACTTCCATATGTTGCGAAAGAAAATAAATCGCACAAAATTCATTGCTAGAATAACTACCTGGTGTATTTTTTCTCAAATATGCCATTTACTGCAAAAATTCGTCACGCACCCTGTAAATCAAAAACGACCATTCTAGGTATTTTACCGGTCCAATTTAAAAAGCCACAGAATATTTAATTCAACACTAAAATGGGTTGATGGCAGCAGTGCACATAGCCTGGTATTTGCTTTCCCGCTCAGGGGTGTAAACAAACTTGCATACAGCGAAGTCTGGCAGTGTGAACGTTTTGTCTGCTACATGCTTATGCACTAGATAGTGTGACATCACATTTGCTGTTGTATTAAAATGACGGAAGAAAAGAGATGGTTAAATTTTCCTCACCATACCAGTTGATATTTATGAAACAAGGGCAGTTTAGGGCGTGGGAACATGCACTTCCAATGAATTTTACCCATACATTTAGAAAATGATGATCGGAGAACATTTCAAAAAGAAGAAGTAAACAAATTATTGACCCTTTGTAGAACCTTAAAGGGACCCACTTGTATACAAAGTATTAATTCAAAAAATTACTATTATTTTAAACAAGGAACAATTATTGCTTCTGGTAGGTAATACAAGATGAACTCATCCAAGAATGTCGTTTTTTAATTTGATTCTAAAAACACCGCGGTTGTTAATTGGTTTTAACTCTAGAGGCAAACGGTTTTATCTCTTTGGACCTATAATCGAAATCCTTTTCTGACCAAATATTGTGTGAACTCTTGACAGTTGTTGTGACTTGTTAGCATTTCTAGTAGGGTAACTATGAGCAGCAAGAGGTAATTGAATAGAATAATGAAAATTATCGTTATGTAGGGTGTCGTAAACGAACATAATAGCACAGACAAACAGACATAACACATTGAATATTTCTCATTGTAAAACATCGTCGCTAAAATATTACCGCCATCTGATGAGTACACTGTGGTGGATAGTACGCTGAACAGATGGCGGTAGTGTGTTAACGTCAAACGCAAGGGAATTGACTATGCGCGCCACAGGTGGCAGTACTACCAACTGAGATACTTTTAAATTGATCGTTAAATGCTTGTTCGATGAACAACTTGTGAGTGTTATGTCTGTTTGTCTGTGATAATAGTTTGTAGCTCGCAAAGGTCATTAAGTCGTTACTATTCCTAATCACTTCCGGTTTCGAGTGCTCATTTACCTTCACTAATATAATGCCGTCTCTGCCCGTCCAAACGTATTTCAGGTTGACTTTTTTTTTTTGTATTTCACGCATTTTTTGCAACAGTTCAAGAGAAAGCGGAGTCAGCTCATCCCGGACAGCAACATTTGTTGATTTCCCATTGATGATCAACGATCGGTCAATGGATGATGATGGAAGTTGCCCATACTCTCTTTTGACGTAGGACTACGTCTGTGATTTATATATAGGGGTACACTTTATGAAAACCAAAAATGGAACATGTAACAAAATTATGAAAGATTGTGAACATTAATAACTCAGCAGCCCCTGAACCAATTCCAATAATTTTATCACCAATCGATCAGACATATTTCTACGCAATGCTTCCAACTGATGATTTTCAACAAGAAACTATTGAAAAAGTGGAAATGTCCAGCACTATTTAATATACAAATAAAAGTGATAATTTTTTCACTACTTTCATGAATTAAACGGTCTTTCCAAACCCAGTCGTCATAATCGAGTACCACTTGGTTGCACATCATTCGGCTTTAACCTGAAAAGATATAAAAAAGCGCTGCTGTCTAGTCTCAACTCATTTTCGCTTCGGACGGCGTGGTGAGCAGGCAGCAGAAGCATCAATAGCAGCAGTAGGAAGGTGGTGGCAGGTTAGGAAGTCCACTTTTCTACCCAACAAGCAATAATGACTGGAGGAATAGGTCTTGGTAAAGGAGGTGCCAAGCATCATCGCAAGATTCTTCCCCGAGTAGCAAGGTATTGACATCGGTAAACTACGCAAAAGGAGAGTGTCGTTACTTGATAGCATACTACTCATGATGGGAGGAGTATGTGTAGCTTATCGGCGTGGCCAAAAAGAAAGTTAATCAAAATTTCATTTTGTGATTGTTTCCCAAACACAGACATCATATTGAAAAATCATCGTGATTATGCATTGTAGCATTCTCTGTAAATTCCACTTGGTACAGTCAGTGCTTCAGTGTTTACACTTCGCATTGGATAGAGTCAATATTCGAAGTGAAACACGTGTTTATTGAGAAATTCGGTAAAAGTCTTCAAAATGTCTCAACGCATGGCTGCTAAATATCTTCACGATTATCAAAAGCGCTTGATATACAAGGAGGCAGGGAAGCCTGCGAAACAGACGCGGACCGTTGCTGAACGCGTTCGAATGTGTTGAGCCAGCAAGAAATCGGCCAAAGGTAATCCTAATACTAGGATTTATTCAATAACCGCCCAGTTCAAAAAATTTGAATAA